AGTCTTACACTGTTAAATTAGGGATGGCTAGCGCAGATAGCCCTCGTGTAGCTTTGCACGAAATTCAAAAACAACAATAAAAAATATGTCAGCTTATAACACTAAAAACCAGGTTTCAATATGCAGGGTGAGCACAGCACAAATATCCCATTGTGTAGCTTTGTGCTTAACAAAAAACAAACAGACAAGATAAAGAAAATTTATATACTTAGCAAACATATGTTTTGTTTTAATGATTTTTTTATAGCTTTTACTGACCAGATTATGAACATGTTTGGTTTTTCACATTTTTCAGTGATCAGAAAAACCCTGTTAACTCAATTTTTGGGTGAAACGAGATAAATATTTGTATTTGTAAACTTAAATTTCCAATAAAATGTATTTCTAAGTGTATAATGCATTTGTAACAATGATCTCATATAGGTAATGTATAATGTACATGTAGCTTATAAGTAACCTTACCTACACCTTTATAAAAGCCCATATGAATTTATATGTGTAACATACAGTAAAAAGAAATTTAAATAAAACATTAAAATAAGAAAATAGTAGAGGTTTACTGTTTATAGCTTGAAGCACCCAACATGGTTTAAAAATGCAAACACTATTTTCTGAAAGCATACATATAAAAAAGTAAGGATAGAATTGATGTTACCCCTCACTGACCAAAATCGAGCAAAATAATACAAACAAATACTACCTTCACATGTAATTGAAAGCATATCTCAGTAGGAAATATGAATTAAAGCAAACTGTTTAGTAAGAAGTGTGGTATTATGAATATACCATAGGTTTTTATCTTCTTGTACTATTATAATATTTATTCTAAATTTATTCATTATTCTGAATATCTGAAGGTTTTACACAACATGTAGTTGAGAAAACTGTTCATTTAATCTTCTTTTAAGTTCCCTTTATTGTTGTTCTCAAAGTAGGTCATACCTCTTACCACCCGTGGGGAACATTGGTTAATATGAGGTTGTATACGAATGCTGACAGCAATAACTTTCAATGTTGTTTGGATGATATTTAAAGGCTACAGACACATGTATGTTGTACTGAGAATGACCAGTAATGTGGGTAGTGTATGTTATTCTGGGTAAATGCAAGATTTCTTTGAACTTGGGAACCTTGGATTTGGCAGTCTGGTCTGGAATGGAACTTGGTCATCAGTAGTCAATCCAATGAACCAGTGAAAGTGATGGTCCAATATAAGTAAATTCTATTTGTGTTTAGTGTATTAATAAAGATTGTTCATTGTGTAATTCATATCGTGTTTTCATTTACTCAGTTGGTAAGAGATTTAGTACTACTCTATAATCAGTATCTTGAGCAAATCTCCTGTTATTTACTGGACTTATCTGATAGCTGGAATGAATATTTACTTCATTTTAATATACCACAGAGTGGATAGGAAGGGAAATTTTGGTGCTGCTTTCGCATGTCCATTTTTGCAGAGTTTGCTACATCTGCTGAAGTTCAAAAAGATTTTATATTTCAAGAAATTAGAATTTTTTCACAACACGAAGGTCTTACGAATAAGAGAAAGTCAGTTGTCAAGAGAGTTGTTGAGTCTAGGAGAAACCCTTTGTTGGATATCGTACTTTTGCCAATGCTGCAAAAGTCAATGACTTTTTTCTCATTGCTGTCACAGACCTGGGAAGGAAAACCTTCAGAATCCATTTGTACCCCGGTATGAATGATCGAGTTCTCCCCTGATGATCAACCTTAGTGCAAGGGAAACACAGACTAATGATTGTTGCAGCAGTATGACATCCAGTGAGTTTCAAGACTGGGTGGAGCAGTCTGTATAGGAATCCCAGACTTATGCCAGACATAGTATCTCAACCACATGGAGTATGAAATGAGACTAGAAGTGTCTTTGGTGAGTATTGTCTGCCAGTTGGGTAGTGGTAAGCCTTTTTGAGCTGAGAGGTATACTTCCAAAGTGAACATAATTCACAGAAGAGCTTGGGGTTCAGCAAAACTGGCATATGAGCTGCCTATAGCACCTTGTTGGTCTACCATCCTAAATCAGGAGCCTACTGTTTGTCATAGTGTTTGGGGTCCTTGACAGCCCCTAAAACACTCTACCTCTGTGTTTAGGACATCTCAACTTGGTGTTCCTCTCTTGACATTTGAAAGAGTACATCTAAAAAAGGTCTGGGCCACTTCATCATTTCAGACAGGTCTTTGTCAGGAATGAACAGATTCAGGGACAGGCAGTGCATTGTGTGATTCTGAATCTGTATGGTGCAGTACTTGACTTTTTCAATCATTTGGATGAGAAGAAAATAGTTGAGAGTACTTTCTGTCTTTTCATGACAAGCTAAATGAGGAAAAGGCAGATTTAGAGGTGATAGAGAACTTTAACAGTCAGTCAAACCACCACTGCCAGACTCCAGGTTGATATAGCAGGGATTAAAACTGATAATATGCTGTTAGGATGATCATTAGTTCGAGCATCCAAAAATGGAAATGGTGGTCCTTGCTTTCCAAACTATTAAATGATGTTCATTATAAAGGGTATACACTTCATTATGATTTCTATTTGATTACCTTGAACCAAAGACAGCTATTGTCAGTTGATGTAATGCCTAATGCATCACCAGTTCATATAACTCAAAGTGACAGCTAGTAGCTTGAAAATTCAGCTTAAATGACGTTGCAACACTTGCTTTCAGAGCTGTCAGGTGGTAATGTAAGGTACACCATATGCACTACATTGTATGATAACCACTAAATCATCTGAAGTTACGATGGTTTGTTGATCAAA